TTCCTGATTTACCTTATAGATTATGTTTCTCTTTTTATTTGTATGTCCGTTTTTTCATTTGCTACTTACTGAGTTTCCAATTTTAGTTATATATGTTTTATTTTAGAATGTTCAGTTGTTACTTCCCAAGTCAGCTTAGTCAACCTTGATAATTCTGGTTCCTTTAATATTTTTCTCTAAACATATAGAAATTACATTGCATTACATTCTGCATATCTTATTTTACATTTTGCAGACCTTATTTTAGATTCTGTATAATTATAGTCTTACATATTTGAGGTTCTGAATGTTTAGTGTATTATTTCTTTTGAATCCTTGACTGCTCATTTTCTTATGTTTAATGACTTTTCTGACTGTGACCTCATTTTTCTTGGTATTTTATTGTGGATTCTTTGGGCTTAAACTGCATTTTCTAAAAAATGATTGGTAATTGCTTTTACCCAGTACTCTATGGCACTACTAACTGGGAACCACTTTAATTTTTTTGCCTTTCTTTTGAGGAGGTGGTTGTTGGGCATTCCAGGTAGTATGAATTGAGTCCCCAGACCCATGTGAATGAAGTGTTGTTATAAAACTTACTGGGATTTCATGGTATCTCTTTTTCTCTTTCCTAATTTCTTTCTTTCTCTGTCCAGGGAAAATGTAAAGTTCTGGCGTATACTCTAAGGATATTGTACTTCCAGGACACAGGTTTTATTGAGGTGCTCTCAACTCTGACGTTCCTTCATATTCTGAGTGCCAGTGTTCGTCTCCAAACTTAAGGGCATGTAGTTCATTAAAACCCAGGCTTTAGGTTGTCTGAAATTACCATGCAATCCCCAAGGCAAAGACAGTCTCCCAGGCTCATGGGATAGTGAATTCAAAATTTCTTGTTGTTGTCTTTGCCCTGGGAGGAATGCTATTACTTTCCTGTCAGCTCAGCCACGTGTTTAAAATAGCTTTCACTTTTGTCTTTAGCATTTAATATGGTATTATGCTGTGATTTTGTTGCTATGAGCATATTTCTGGAAACATGTAAGCAGCCTTCTTACATCTTTTACAAATGGGTTTCAACCCTCAGAGGAATTTATATTGGGATGGAAATTTCTCTCTCCAGCTCCCTTATCCTCATCAGACTTTGGGTTGTCTCCTCTGTTATGCTTAAATTCCTAAACATTAAAGAGGGAATTCTTAATTGTGATTTCCCTTGGAGTAAAGACACTTTGTCTAGTGACTAGTACATGAACAACCTGTGATATGTTGGGTTGCCTTGTTCAGTCTCCCCTCATCTGAAAGTTGAACAGTTGTTTGAGGCCATGGCCATTACAGGGTGACCCACAATAGCTTTGGGATCCCCCCACTTCTCTTAGGAAATGTAAAGGAAACACCACACTAGAGATCACCTTTCAAAATGGAGACTTCTCTGGCTCTCTGAGAAGATTTGGGGAAGTTACCAGTTTCCCGGGCCTGCTATAACTTCTGAGAGGTGGCTCTAAGTCTCGAAAATCCTCCCGTGGTTTGTGTGTGCTTTGGGGAGCTCTAGAATTCAATAATGCAAAGATACTGACCTGTGAGAAGTCCCACAATGGCGTGTTTGGTGCCTCCTGATTTTGCATGTGTGCCCGTCTTCGACATTTTCCTGCTTAAACCATTTCTTCTACAAGAAGCAGTAGCAGTGTGAGGAATGCAGCTCACTACTCTTCCACAGAAGGTGCTAGTGACTGACGGACTTCAGCTGGGGAAGCAGTGTTAATGTTCAAGCCTGGCAGGAAAAACATTTCAGTTTATTTCACATGTTTTGATGTGTACTTTATATTTTTATATGTATATGCTAATAATTTTCTCTTTGCAATGGCCTATTTTAAAATAAACCTTTCATTTTACTCATTGTGTTTATATATGTTTCTAGTAGGGCCACAAAGCTTTTAAAAACTATGAATTCTTTGCTACTTAGAAAATACCCTTTAACTGATTTTGATTGTAAGTACTGGGGGAGTAATATGCCATTTTTAGGTTACTTTTTTTATAACAAACATATTCCAGAATTTCACACTAATAATGCACTATTAGAAAATATGTAGCATTAAGAAAAAAATGCAAGACTTTCTCGAATAGTTTATCTATCATTAATCAATACAAAAAATTAATCATTAGGTGATGAAAGAAATTAGCAGAATTATCAAAAGGAAAAAATTCTATGAGATTTGGAAAGAAGAGAGGAATTGATGGATTAGACAGCTGCTTCTAAAACAAAACTCGAGGTGTGATAATACTGTGTAAATTATCAGAATTAGCCTGGTACCAGCTATGTTGTGGAATTTGAGAAAAGCTGTTTAGGAAAGGAGTCTGAAAAGTATTTTGGAGTAAATCCACACAGGTTGTTAAAAATTTGAAAATTTTGACACAAGGTTCTGATAAATGATTTATATCTTTAGTCAGGTATTTAGAATGTGTCACTTCAAATTCATTGTCATGGAGAGACTAGGTTTAAGAAGTCTAAAGAAGCAGGTGGCAGGCCCTGGCTGGGTGGTTCAGTTGGTTGGAACATCATTCCTATACGCCAAGGTTGTGGGTTTGATCCTCGGTCAGGGCACACACAAGAATCAACCAATGAATGCATAAATAAGTTGGCAGCAAATCGATGTCTCTGTCTCTCTAAAATCAATAAAGAAATTTTTAAAAAAGAGAAGCTTATTGCAGTTGAGAGGAAAGATTTTTGAGAGAGAATGGAGTTGAGACATTAATACAGAATGGACTTGGGATTTGAATATGTAAGTGTGTAGGAAGCTAAGAATGAGAAAACCCCAAAATAGAGGACTGCTATTGACTTTGCAAAAAAGGAGAGAAGGAGAAGTTCCTAAGTCAGGTAGGGAGAAAGAAACACAGTGGAGGCTGTGAAGGCAATGCAGTGGCAGGAGAGAAACTAGCAAAAATCAGAGAACATCTTGGTAAGAAAAGTCCTCATGAATGTGTGTCAGAGCGTCTTTTACTTAGCAGCCTTCACATGTGACACCTGCCCTTTGTTATGGACAGCATGCCAACGCTGTTAGTCTGGCCAAGAAGGAAGTAGTTAAAAAACTTAAGCTGGCAAATGTAAATAGTGGTATTGTAACCGGAAAAGACGGCGGCATTCGGGCTGCCTGTCACTACCAAATCCAATAAGCAATGACAGCAATTGAATCTTTTATGGGCGCTTTATTCAGATGGCCGGCGATCTGAGAAGATGTCGGGTTCATACCCTAACAAACCATCTTCCCTTCTCTTTCCTGGCCAGACCTTTTATAAGGGGGTGGGGAGGACAAACAAGGTGTGGTGAGGGCTTTGAGATTCAGGGAGGATTAAGTGAGAGAAGCTGCAGCAGTTAGCTGTTCCTGAGGGTAGGGGTGGTCAAACAAAAGGCCCGGATGCCTCCAACGTGTCCCCAGGCGGTAATCTCTAGCCAGTGCCCCAGGAGGTCTGCTGCTTTTCTTAGGAGCCAGTGTTACAGAGCAACAAGGCGGGGCCTCAGAGGCAATATACTATTCCCCGAAAGGAACCCCCCAGGTTTGTTATGTCTTCTGCCAAAGGAAAGATATCTCTCAATGCCCGAGATTCAGTGAAAAGGAAAGGAATTTATTATTCATTCGAAATAACACAAACTAAAGTCTCTCACAAATGCACACAGTCCTCCCAGCACCCTCCACATGGCAAAAGAGAGCACTTCCAAAGCCTCAGGGTCCTGACTCTCACCCAAGCTACACGGTCCCAACCAAGACACCAAAGCCATGTGGTCCTAAACAGACGCGTGGTCTCAAAAAAGAGAGATGTGGTCCCAAAAGAGAGATGTCCGGTCCCAAAGAGAGACTTGAAATGGCTGCCTGGCTGGGTTTAAATCCCAGCGCCAATCTTCCTCTGCAGCCCTATTTCTGTCTCCTCCCACAACTGGCCACAGCTGCCGGCATTCTGGGCAGGTGTGCCCTGTGGTGTGGAGCCAACTATCTCCAAGCTCTTCTGGACCCTATTACAAATCCCTATTTGGGGCTCCCCTCTTGGCTGCACCCTGTTACACCAGGATGGGCCTTATCTGTAGTTTCTGAAACAAAAGCTTAACATACACATTACTAGCTAGATTTATAGCTTTTTACCTTAAGCTAAAATTTTCCAAGTCTTGAGTCCCCTGTCAGTATCACATAGGGCAGTGTGTTCCAGGCCAAGCACATGGCTGTGTGCAAATGTATGGAATATATAGGTTAAAAATTTAATTTTGTAGCCATTGGTAATTTTGTAGCCCTGAATATACATCATGAAACATCTTGAGAGCAATATTTAAAATATAGGTCTTGCTCCATGTTTTATTATTGTCTACAAGTTGCACATAAATATTAAAATGTACAATTTTATTCTTTAGGATCATTGTTTACTTAAAAAAACAGGTGATCAGGGAACTCTAAAAGTAACACATACTTGAGAGATGATGTAAACTAATTCTCAAGGTTATTGTTGCATTCTAACATAGCCATAGAAGAAAAGTTACTCTTTGATCTTAAAAAATAAATGGCATGAAATACAAATTAACATAAATAAGTTAGATGGCATCTGAGAGAGCAGTATCTGACAGAATGAAGAATTTATGATTTGTGTAAAATATTTAAAACAACCACTCCATGTCTCAATACTGAGTATTTTTGCAATACAAATACGATTTTCTTTCACATTTCATCTTTATGCTAATCCTTTATATGTCCTAGGATTTTATATCAGAGCATCCTTTGACTTTAGTTGTCAAATAGTGGTTAGAAGCGTCTTCGAAACTTAAAAAACAAAACTAAACTAGGCGTTTCCGTTGTGGCACATGAGCACACGCCATGTCAACAGCCAAGACACTTTCTCTTACTGACTTCTGATAGACTCTGAGGGAGAGGGCAGCACCGACAACCTAAAATGCATTAACCTTTCACTGTGTTATCAAGATTACCTCAAATTCCTCTTATTCGAGACCATTTTTTCAAAAGCTGTTCTGTGCAAAATAATTGTCATGACAGATTACCAAGTGGGTATGCAGTGCTTCAATGCCTCCAGGTATCAGTTGAACCTTTAGATTATGCCAAATCACCAGAAATGCAGTGGCCAAGTGATTCTGAGGTCTTGTAGGATTACATTCCTGAGTTTTTTCTGCTGTTGACTGATGTAGAAGGATTGCATGAAAAGTTGGCATTAGACACTCTGGTGTGATTGTTGAAGACATGCTCTCGAAGCTGACCCTTACATTATACCAGGCTTCTCTGTAAGAACCCATTTTTGCTTCAGTTACAGACATTGTAAATGTTAGAACTACTGTGTTTTCTTTGTTGCTTGTGCGTTATTTGTCAGGCCTGCCATCATGAAATCCCACAGATAATGTGGCATACACAACAGAAATTAGTTTTCTCAGAGTTTTGGAGGCTGGAAGTCTAAGATCAAGATGCCAGGAAAGTTGGTTTCTCCAGAGGCTTCTCTCCTTGGCTTATCAAGATACTGCTTTCTGTGTGTTCAGGTGGCCTTTTTGAGGTGCCTGTGTGGTCCTGGTATGTCTTCCTCTTCTAACAAGGCCATCAGTATGACTGGACAGGGCCTCACCTTTATGGGCTCATTTAAAATTAATTACTTTCTGAAAGACTTTATCTCCGAACATAGTCACACTACTGATTAGGGCTTCAACATACGTATTTTGGAGGAACACAGTTCGGTCGATAACACTTTGATAGCTAAACATTTGAGAGCCAAATCTGTGTGACACATCCAGAAATATCAGAAAGTATTTGACATTATTGTTCTATACCTATTTTCCCCTTAACTTGATCTTCTTTTTCTCATGTACTGTATATTTTGTAGGCTACCTTAAATCTTTTTTATAAGACAGAAAACAAATAAGTAAAGAAATAAATTCTCATCTGAATTAGATTGTATGTATATTGGCCCACTGAGATGATCAGGAGGAATTGTATTCTTGGGTGTCAGAAGATGCTGGAGGCAGTTCAGGGATCATTGTCCTCTGAGTATACTTACAAATTTATGTTGTTGTCTAGGCTTATAATATATATTATCGTGGACTAGTTCCTTCTCCCTTTGATAATATAACAGAACATCAATAAAATTAAATTTTGGTAGACTATGACATTTTTTCTACTTATGTCAATTCTTCTTTTTCTTATTCTAGAAAGGCTTTATGAAAAAAGAGAAAATAGCTTTCAAGCCAGAACCAGAGCCACAACACAGGTATGTTTTTTCTATGATAGCAGAAAAGTATATTAATTATATATTATATAAGTATAATTATATATTATATTAGTATTATACTATAATATAATAGTATATTATATATATTAATGTGCATGTTTTTGGTTTTATCTTGTCGCTAAGATTAAAGAGTTGTAGGTTTTCAATGTATCTTTTTCAATGTTTTAAGTTGGCTAAGCCAAGGAGAAAAAAAAGCTTTCCTTTTTCCAAGTGTATTAGTGATCATTCAATAGATTAGGCTGAAGTTTACTCTGTCATGGGTAGGAAAAGCAGTGTGAACAACACCTCACGATGTTTCATTTATTAGAAACTGTGCACTGTGATTCGCTGTGGTAGAACACATTTCAGTGACTCTGTGAGGGATTCTTAAGATTGCTTTGCTACTTTCTATAGCAAATTTGTCAGGTAACTTTTGTGAAAATGTGCAGACTTTTTGAGATAGATCGGAGAGTGAGATGGAAAGCAGGAACTGTAGAAACTTAACAGGGAAGTTGCTATAAGGGACAGGTTTCACACTTGTGTTTTTTTATTCACTGGTAATATATTAATTTATATTAATTCATCAAATAATATTTTAGTACTGACTAGGTGCAAAACCCTGTGCCAGGCCATGTAGATGAAAACAGCGAAAGAGTAAACCTCAGAGACTGAAGTTTGTCAACTCAACCAGTTTGGGATCTAACTCCTCAGTAAATACAGGTTCATTTACATATACTATTTAGGTTCCCTGTTCTTGCCTGACCTCCTTCTTTATTCCTCCTCTCAATTACTGGGAATGTGTCGCTATATAAGGTCCATAATCTCTCATCCACAATTCCCAAATCCAGAAAGTTCCAGAAAATAAAAGTTGATGCCAAAACGAAGGCTGCGCCAAAACTCTTAGTGTCAAAATCTGACCTGAAGTGACAAGTGATTATGATTATTCACTTTTTACATTTCTCACTTCATGTGAATATTCATGTTTTGCATATACATAAATATTAATTATATTCACTAATTAGTGTTAATGTGTTTGATAAGAGAATGCTGCTCCAGACCCTGCTCGAGTGTTATATACTGTGTAGTATACACACTATATGAATTTCCTAACATTCAGAAAAAAAGAATTATAGCATTCATTCAATTCTAAGGTTAGTATTGTGGAATTGCACTCCATGGTAAATCTAGGCCAAATATGATAATGAACCATGCAATGCAGTTATTTAAATATCCAATAAATAAATATCCTATTTTAGTGACAGGGACTTAGTAAACATGCCAGTTTTTTCCATGGAAATCTTGGAAGGCCAGCACCTAAGGAGTGGAGATTATGTCCCAGGACTAAGGGGTTTGACTTAGTTCTAAGAATGAAACAAACTGCCTCACCCAAACAAAAGCATGAAACCAGGTTTCAGTAGTTTTAAGATGATAAAACCAGTAATTTAGTAACCACCTAGAATTTTTTTTTTAAAGTCAGCAATTCTTCATGGACAATAACAGAATCCAGACTCTCTACAATGTACAGTGTTATGTATGTAATAGATAAAATGCTAGACATATTAAGAAACAGGAAATCTTACTTACATCAAAAAAGATATTCTCAGTTACTGGAATTAGTAGACAAGTACTTTAAAGCAGCTATTATGTGTGTTCAAAAATTTAAAGAAAAAGGTGTTCATAATAACAGAGTACCCCAGTGCAGAAACAGGAAGCTATTTTAAGAAGTCAAGTGGAAATTCTGGACTGAGAACTGGAATACCTGATATGATGATTTCATTGGATGGTTTGAGCAACAACATACTGGAGAAGAAAATAGAAAGGTAGGTAAACTTATAGATCAATAGGGTCCAATCAGGAGAAGAAACGATAATTGGGAAAAAGTGAGCAGAGCCTTAGTGATCTGCAAGTTAAAATCAAGGGGCCTACCAGCTGTGAATTGGAGTCTCAGAAGCAGAAAAACAGAAAAAGAGGTTGAAGAAATAATGTCTGAATTTTCTTCAAATGTACCAGAAAACGTCTTGACAAATGCAGGAAGATCATCACATTATAAACAAGAAAAATACAAAAAAAAATCCCACAGGCAGGCACATCTTAGTCTAAGAGTTGAAAATTGAAGGCAAAAAAAAAAAAGGTTGGGAATAGCTAGAGAGGAAAAATATACATTTTACAGAGGGTTACATTTCTAGGGATGATAGATATCTTTTCATCAGAAATGATGAAACCAGAAAACAATGAAATTATGTATGTAAAGTGCTGAAAAAATATTTACTGATAATTCTATATTTAATGAAGCTATTTCATAATATTAAGGTTGAAAATAGACATTTTCAGCTAAGTTAAAAGAATGAGAATTTATTAACAGCCAATCTTAACAAATGTTAAAGGAAGCTCTTCATTCTGAAAGGAAGTGACATCTGATAGAAATGTGAATCTACGGAAGAAATAATATTGAATTTAAAAATACATCATGATCAATAGAAAGTAAAATATATTTTAAATTTTTCTTTAAAATCAACCATTTCAGGCAAATTTATCTTACTATGCAACTTCTAAGTTAGGGAGATGCAAACATATATAATAATTGCAAAAGAAATGGAGTTATGCTCTTGTAAGTTTCTTTTTACATGTAATGGTACTAATTCTAAGCAGTGTCTGATAACTTGAGAATGCATATTGTAACTCCCAGAGCAACCACTAATATAAAAAGGTATCAGGAACTACTATTTGGTTAACCCAAAGAGGATAGGAAAAGAGGACCAACAGGAGTAAATAAAAGCAAATATGAAAACGGTAGACTAAAACTTAACTGCATCACCCTTTATACTAAATATATAGAATATGTTCTACTAATAAAGTTTTAGCATAAATAAAGCAAAAAATGACAGAACTAATGAATAAAATGGACAACTCCCTACTTATTGCTCCAAATTTTTACATGCCTCTTTTAGTACTCAATTGATAATAAAATTAGTAAAAAGAAAAAATCATGATATAGCAGGTTGGAACAAACCATCAACCAATTTGACCTAATTGACATTTATAGAAGGCTGTATCCTACAACTGTAGAATGTTTTTTTTCCAAAATGAGCCTGTGACATTCATTATAATGATGAGAAATGAAAGGAATAAAATATAAATGAAGCAAGAAAGCAAACTAACAAAGCCAAAAGTTGATTCTTTGAAAAGACTAATGAAATTTTCAAGCTCCTAACCAAACTGAGTAAGAAAAAGAAGAGATAAAACACAAATTACCAATATTGAAAATGAAAGAGGTTCAGTCTTTCTATATGCTATAGACATTAAAAAAATAAGAGAACATATGAATAACTTTAAGTCAACTGCATTCAACAACCAAAATGAAATGGACCAATTCTTTGGAAAACAGACAATGTACCAAAACTGATACAGGCATAAATAGAAAATTTGAATAACCCATGTCTATTAAAGAAATTGAATTTGTTATCAAAAACCTTCCCACAAAATGACTTGCTTTAAAGAAAAAAAATAGCAACTGCCATATGTAAATTACTTTCCAAAGTATTTGATTATGTTAAAAGCAGCTTATCTCTTTGTGTCAAGTCTTTTCTGTAAATGTTCTTTACCTGGTTAGGCTGATTGGGAAGTATTGTTTTCCTTGTAGGTGTCACTAAGTTAAAATTTAGTGCAGCCCTTTCAATGATAAAAAATTGTATAGTCTGAAAGATGAGTGTTTATTATAGCTATTTTCCTGGAGCGAGCCAGCTAGTCTGAATCCTAAGCATTTTTGTGTACAGCCTACCATCTGTTGCAGGCATGAAGAGCTGTGGCAAAGTTTTAGAGAGATATGTAGCTAATTTTTGCAGGGAGATCTTAAGTATTTTAGAGAATGATGGCTGAAGGGAGTTTAGAGATCATTGATTCAATCCTTTTAAATTTCAGTCGAGAAAACAGAGACCCAAAAAGATTAGTGACTTCTTCAAGGTCACAAAAGTAAAAGTGAATAACTTAGGAGAATCCAGTCCTCAATTCACCCTCTTTTCACTAGATCATGCTGCTTTTATTCTGTTTTTATATGAATTTTAAGAGCCTTTCCAATGATTACTGAAGAGAAGAACATTGAAACAATTAATTAGCGTATCTAACAATGGCTCTAGTAAAAATTGTTAATAGAATAGAATCTTGGAGAACAAGAGAGAGTGTTAAAAAAAAGTAAGACAATGAAAATAAAGCAAAATGCAGTGAACAATGTAGAACTATAGATTTGTGGCTTTTATATAGACACTTCATTGAAAATATTTAAATTGAATAATATTATGATTTTTCTTGTTTATTTGAAACCCTACACCATTTCTATCATAGAGATTCCATGATACTTCAGAATCCAAATGTTGGGACCCTCTAAGGCTTGGCCTACAGGACTTTCTTGTTAGAGAAGAATTTCTCAAATGCTTTCTGCTACAGGCTTTCTCAGAGTCTGCACGAGGCAGAGTATTTTATAAACTCCCATCAGTTGTCAGTCAACTTCAATAAGGCACTGACCAGTTTTAAAGTACTTTCGCATTTTAAGGACAGAAACATGTCTCACATAGTTTATCATCGCCAAGGTACAGTAATATAAGAGAGTTTGTTTTTCCTCTCTCTGTTCTTAGTTACTGAAAAAAAGTGATGGAATTCATTTGCACGTACCCACAAGCTTTGTGGGGGCCCTCTACAGTTGGCAAATAGGACGGGTTTATGTGCCCACTCAGCTGTAGTTTTAAGGAGGCAGTCATTGGCTGTTAAAGGCGGGGATGCTAGGTTAAGCCAATCAAAAAATGCTGCTGCTGCACTTGATTAGGAAATGCTGCCGATTTGTGCCCCCATTTCTACTCTTGGAGGGAGTGGAACCCGCTGCCTCAATATGGATCAATAGTGGTAGATAAGGCAGTCATGATTATTTCTGTCCTGATCGTTAACGGTCATAGGCTAAAAGGCAGGCTTTCACATTTCTATTATTTTAGTTCATCTTCCTGATTTCTTTC